TGGTAAGATTATAGAGTGGGCCAAAGATACAGTTAATTTTACCTAAATTAAATCTAGTTCTCACCCCTCATATTTAATAAAGGAGAGAATACTGTACACCTTAAAATTTTACTTCAGAGAATATGTATATGTAATAGCAGTAAATTTCACTCTTTAAATATTATTTTTTCTTTGTTGCTGTTCTCTCAAAATATTGTTGTGATAATGAGTTGGTTACATACATAATTTATTAATGTTGTGATTTGACTAGCTAACTTTGCATTTTACTATGTAGTCTTATGTGTGTCATACTTGGTATAGTCCCAGACAGAATATATATAAACTCTTGATTAGGAGCATGGTTCCTCAAGTCCTTTTCCTCTGAAAGTCAGTGTTGGGCTTATAACAGTTAATACTATAATAGCAAGTGATTCTCAAAGTTTGAATGTAGACACTTAAAGCAATTTAAAGAAATTCAAAATAGCTTTCACCATTGAACAGTTTTAGAAACATTTAATAAAAATTTCATTTCTAATGTAAAAACATTGGTTACAAATTAACTAATATCAATCTATTTACATTTATTAAGCACTTACCATGCACCAAGCTCTGTGCTAAGTGCTTTGTATATATTATCTCATGGGCTATTTATAATAATCCTATAAAATAGGTCCCTTTCCCACCTCTGTTTTTCTGTTGAAAAACTAATGTTTAGGGAAATTAAGTTGTTAGTAAGTGCCAAGATTCAAACTTAGTTCAACTAGGATTAAGAACCTTAGATGTAATAAGAATGCATCTGTTTCAGTTTAAAGTTCTGATTTAGCTTAAAGACAGTGTTATTTGCTCAGACTTCTAAATTCTATTAAATAATAGTTTCCCTTATTTTTATATTAAGATTTGATTTACATGTAAGTTTTAATATAGTTTCGTGACTTTTTAGTGCATTGTTAAAATTGTTGATACCTTAATAGGCTCTCTTAAAACAAATTGCAATTTTAAAATATTTTGCTTTAAGTAACTGTGGTAGTCAATGTAGGTTTAAGAATAAATAAATAATTAGGAAATCCTCTTATCTTGAGGGGATTTGCAATAAAATGTCTTTAAATAATCATTTTCTCTAATGTTAATATTTTATGTATAGGTTTTTTTTTTTTTTTTTTTGAGACAGAGTCTC